TGTGTCTCCTTCCTTCTCTCTCTCTCTCTCTCTCTCTCTCTCTCTCTCTGCATATGCGTATGAAAAATAATTTGCAAACGACAGATGGATTATTATCATCAACGACGATCTTGCCACAGGTAGTAACAACTTTCTCTTCGCTGTTCTTTTCTCCATTTGTGCGAGTCATCCCAAGGACTTTTCTCAGGAGTGCAATATTGGCTGGGATCCGACGTGGTCTTACGTCTTAGCGGGAAGTTACACACATGCGGTGAAGGATAGGAAAAGGAAAACAACGTTTTTTTCGTTATAAAATGAGTTTATTTTCTCTGTACCATATATGCTATGTACAACGTGTGTGTTACGGTACTGACATATACGACGTTCGGCGAGAAAGATACGTCTTGATAATGTAGAAAAAAAAATGGGAATTAATTAGAAACACGCACGCATTACGTTTAACGTTCAGCAGAGTGATTCGTTAAATTACATAGCAGTTTCAGTGCGTGGATGGTATGACAGGCGTATTATTATTAAAACGGTAGTTGGTATGCTGGTCGTGGATGGGAAGGGAAAAAAAAAAATAGGCGTGATAGGGTACGAGTATTCTTGAAGGGCAATATACGTTAACGTAAAAAATAAATAAGCGATTATATGCTGGTGCGCGGATATAAGAACGCTCGCGATCGTCGGGTAAGTTCTGTACGTGACGTATGTATTCGCGAATGAAAATGGTTTAATTTGGCGAGAGAGGCCGACGCGGCGCGCTCGGCAGCGGGAGAGGAAGCGAACCCGGCGGAAGAGGAAAACGAAGAAGAAAAGAAGGAGGAGGAATGGGTGCGAGGGGGCGGATAGAGAAAGAGAAAGACGTACGTACGCGGGATGGAGGAAATACACGCTTGTCATGGTACAGAACAGACTCGAGCTTCTCGAGCTTACGACGGAGCAGGCGCGCACCTCAGGCTCGAGGACAAGCACCGACATCTCTACAAACTCGTGGATACTCCTGGTATAAAGAAGTACAGGGTATAAACACAACCCTCATTAAGATGAACGATATGGAGGGTGGACGGGGGGGGAGGGAGGGGGAGAGGACGGAGGAGCGGTCGGGGAAGGAGATGAAGAAGAAGCGAGTGGTACTTGTACGCGGAGAAACGACGACGCCGGCCGCGTTGAATTGCTCGCGGCTACCCAAGTCGCGGCCGGTCCCGGGGATTGCAGGATTGCGCGGTTGATATCATCGAGAGCGATCGTCCTCGAGCCCAATATTATCTTTCCTTCGCAATTGCCGTCCGCGGCCTCGATCCATAGACGCCGAGAGACCGCGGGGCGCGTAAACTTAATCTTAATTACGTTATTATATTGATAAAAATCATGATTGCTCCTTTTACTTTCATCGTATACGCTCTTTAAATGTAAAGGCAATTAATTAATTAATTAATGATTATCCTTATACTCTCCGCGTACTTCGGCAGTTTCCATTGACTTCGGCATCAAACGTCGGCGGCCGGGCACGAGCGGGCGTGCCGCGTTCATCCGTAACTTCGTTCGATCAAGTCGATGAAAAGTGCTCGCACATCATTATCGTGTTACTCGAAATGCACGCTGTCTACGAGGTGGCGCGAGAAAATCTGGCACATCTTCCCCGTGAAAGTAGTGACTTAGGATCCGTGCCAGCGAGAGTACCCGCGTCTTACTGTGGAGACAATTTCATCCACCTTCTACACTCTCTCTCTCGTCTCTCTTTCTCGTCGGAGACCGCCGCTTTTTCGCGGCGAGGCGAAGAACTGTCAGATTTTTCTTGCGCCACTCCATACGCCCATGTGTGATACCTGTTGTATCGAAATTACACCGCTAAAGCGTTGCGCGGAGCGACCGCACACGCACGATGGATGCACCACCCAAAATGGGCGCAAATTTTCGCGCGTCTCAGCGCTCGCGCGCGCAACACCGATTTCAATTGCGTTCGTACAAAATATCGTCGAACATGTATAAAATTGGCTCTACCCTCTCACCACAAAGCAGGTTGGATATACTACCGCAGCGTTAGCGAAAAAATTCTTAAACGTAAGTCCATAAGTGAAGTGTTATCTTTCAAGGAAGTAAAAAAAAAAAATGACAGAAAAGTTCGTCATGCATTCGCGTTCACTTATTGTACGCGTAGGCACCTTCGTTGGCATGTTTATCTCATCGTACACATATACGTATATTTATATATATATATATATATATATCCATATTTATATATTTATATTTATTTATATTTTTATATTTCTAGATAAGCGGATCACGCGTAAGAAGCAGCGGTAAAAGCGGGGGAGGGGAAGGGAAGTTATCGCCGCCAGGCCGCGGACACGTAGATACGACACGAACGACGTCGACTGGTTGTTGGTTACTTTCGTAATGCGAAGGTAATAGAATCGCGCGTTGGGAAATATACACCGGAAAATGTGAGAGTCCCGCCTGCGCTTTCTGCATTTCAATTTTTGCCCTGCGGAATCAATGGCGCTTGATTTAAGGGGGCGAAATTCCATTTCGGTCCGGTGTCGATCGGGATCTCGCATAGGATACGGGGGGGGGGGGCAATGCCTAGCAATATCTACGGCAATTAGATCCAATAATTAAAGCGTACATTGGAATTCCGATGGACGGAACTTCCGTTCTGGCGCGTTGTGTATCCTCTTTCGTTCGATGTCGGCCATTGTTATTGCGTTAGCGACCGGTAGCAGTGAGTTACACGTGAACCAAACGTGGCCGGTACATGCGAAGCGTTCGCGGATAAATTTTCTGTCTTACTTATGTCGCACGCGAAAAGCCTCTCCAATTTAATTTTAATTATTTCGAAGACAAAACGGATCGATATGTTAAAATTATTGTTGATGAAGAACTTTGTCACGTTCTTAAAATTAATAAGCGCGTAATTGCTGTTAACGTATACATACGTTTTACATTTTCACAAAGTGCATGAATAAAAATGGCTAGTACACGAATTCTCTCTACGCGATAGGCAAACATCAAACACCAGAACAATCCGAAGTTTGGTTAACTGCAATACAAACACTTCAGAACGATTGGAGACTCCCATTTTGTCTCGCTCATTCCTTTGTTTGTCTTAACGAGTGTATTTTAATTCTCAAATTTCTCAATTAATCCGATCTCCCTGTGGATCCGTCTTGTGTGCTTTGATGGGAAATCGATAAGGCATCCCTGGCACAGCCAAACGATTTATATTTTCCGATGCTACGTTCTCGTATTATATATTCTATTTCTATCTTCCTTTTTCTCTCGCGTGCTTTAAAAAAGGATAAAATTTAAATTGAGGTATGTAATGAAATTTAGTTAACTAAGCAAGATTTAGATTAAAATGTTATTACAATATTACAATATTTTCGATAATATTTTATATATTTCTTATTTATAGAAATTAGCGTTTTTTTTTTATTTCTTTCAACTTGCCGAATAACGTGAATTTGAAAAACCTTTTCTTTGCGGTTTATACAGAAAATGTTGTACAATAGTCGTTACAAACTGGATTTTTCTGTGTTTGACATTATCAACGCGGCTTTGTCCTTTAGAATTTTCTCAAGATGTCCGACGATGGAATTGTTGGACGGAGCGCAATATTTTATTGCTTGCGTAACCAGTACGAAAGAAGTTCTTTTTATCGTATCCATCAATCCATCAATTTTTGATTGCCTTGTTCAACTCGAGCCAATCCGGATTGAGCTCACGTGTCGCGACGTAAATTAACCTGGCCGCTATGGGATGGCTAAGGATAAGGGACATGGCTAAGGTTACGCCGGAAGGGGGTCGAGGTTACGTGATTCCGGTATGGGGAGATAGCTATCCTCGATGTGATCCTGCGCTATCCCTCTCCCTCCCTCCCTCCCTCCCTCCCTCCCTCCCTCCTCCTCCTCCTCCTCTTCCCCTTTACTCTCGAAGCAGGGATTCAACCCCATCAAGCGTTACCCCCGCAAGCTTAGCTTAACCCCGAGACGCCACAAGAGGCAATTAACCTTCCGCCAACCCCGCGCACGTACCTTCTATCCCTCTTTACTCCGAGCTCAACCGCGCGTTTCTGATCCTACCTCTGTTTCTCGTTCCGTTTCAATCCCTTCTTCCTCTTTCATCCCCGTATTTAGCCCGTCGCTCTATCTCCTCACCCGTGCTCGTACGGGTTGGGTATCCCGCTCTACACGTCTGCATAATCATGCCCAATTCCCAATGCTAATTAGAATCCATGCCAGTAGCCTATTCGACGGAGCGAATACGCGTCACCCTTCATCACCTACGGAGCCACAGCATACCGAGACGTGTCCCACATCGCGTCACGTCGCCTTGAGTAAAAAAAGGGATTGGAAAAAGCAGCTTGTGAGGGCAGGGCAAAGCGAAGGGGAAAAGGGCACGGGGACGGGGACGGGGGGTGGCGACGACGGAGGTGGCGGCGTGGCGATGCAGGCGAGCGCAAGAAACCGACCGAACTCGCGCGCGAAATCGATTACTCTCTTCTCGCGGCTGAATTTTTGCGGCCGTTACATTATCAACTACTTACCGGCGGAAGTAGCGCGATGAGACGGCCACTTTTATCCCGGGACAAAGAGAAAGAAATCGATTTAGTTTCGGCGCAAAGCGTGTGATTCTCGGTATGCGTCTCCGATCAGATACGAATTAAGTATCGATACAATTTTTACGAGGAGAGACCTTTTTCTTTTTCCTTTTTTTTTTTCCCGTAGTCTCCGTTTCTGAGAAGTTAGTCTCTCTCTTTCTCTCTCTCTCTCCTCCCCC